GATCCTTCTTCCATTCCTCCCATGCTCTCATAAAGTGGTAGGAGGTGAGGGACCATTATCTCATTCACATATTGAATAGAGTTCAAACCCAGTCTATCTTTCTCATCCACTCGCTCTCTTTCTGTTCTCTTCCGGATTGGGACAAGCTGAGTATGCCCAGTTGCGGAAAAGGCGCCGAAGAACTGGATGGTAAGAGGATTATCAGGAAAGGTAGGAGCCAAATGCCTTTCTTCGTACTCAGTTCGTGGCTTGCGTCGTACTGTCGGTCGTTTTGAACCCCTTCCAACCTGAAGGTAAACTTCATCGGTGTAAACATGCTGCTGCCACCACTCCTTTGGCTGTAAGTAGTGGCAGCGCGCAAACTCCTTCCTCTTCTTTCTATTCTCAGGGGTGAGACAGGGCTTCCGCCTACAAACTCGTACCCACAGGTTCTCTGCGCGGAGGGTATCCCCGATTAAGCGGTCAGAAACATTGAGTCCTGATGCTGCTGCAATCTCGGGGACTGTTGCATGCGGTTCTTGCATGGAAAGTATCTTTATAAACCGGCGATCACTTTTCGATAGCTTTTTCGGTCGACCTGGGCAGGGTGCTTCATGTATTTTCCTGTCAGTTTCGAAGGAACTGACTACTCGTTGGGCAGTTGACTTCGAAAGATCCAGTTCATTAGCGATTTCTCGATAGGTCTCGCCCTCTGCGTGCCGTTTGATAATCTCAACCTTCTCTTCGGTATTCAAATGCTTCAATCTGGGCTTATTGGAGCGCGGCATTGTAGGGTGTGGTCACAATTCAATTTTTTTTTGCTTGTGATGTGCTTTTGTGCCGGGTTTGCCAAGACCCGTTGTCCCACAATTTTCTTCACGCGACTGGCAGGCCGTTGGTGAATATTTATTTATATGCCGCAGAGGTTTCTGAAGAATGCGCCTGCCAACTTTCCTTCATCCCCCTCGTACTGCCGTCATCCCATTTACCTCGGCATCCATCACAACAACCATTACCATGAGCCTTTACGCATAAATGAAACGTCTACTAGCTGTGCTCCAATTGAGCGGGCACCCGGTCCTGTCCGCTGGTGTTGAGCACAAGATGGACTGCCTGTGATGCTGACCTAAGAAAGGGTTGGTGATCACACGGTCAAATTGGGAGGTGGGGGTTCATCTTCTGGGAATTCAGTCTTGGGGCTCGATCAAGGGTATAATTGTGAAGAGGAGAGCAGAGTAGGAAAGACCCGTGAAAAGCTCACTCTGTAACATCTTCAAGGTGCTCCTTTAAGAGGCAAGCGTTTGCCGGTATATTAAGTGACTAGTATTCCCCTCTGACCGTGACACTGCTTTAACTTGGCCGTCCAACGCTCGGATTGTGCGTTCTGTTTACAAAACACACTTAACCTTGGCCTCCCAATATCTTACTCTTCTAAACAAGATGCTTATCCTATAGCATTGGGTGGGGGATACGGTTCCCACCTGGGTTCATACCTCCTCGGATCGTGGAATGCACCCAAAATCATCACCAGCGAGGCGGGTAGGCAGTCACGCTGGAATTTATATCGTACCTGAGAAGAAGGCATATTTCTCTAGCTGAAATCATGAAACATCACCCGGGTAATCTTTCGCGGCCCTGAGTTGTCATGTATCTTCCTGGCCATCTGTTGCCATCACCTGAAGTCTTACCATAGGGTATGATACTAGGCAACAACAACAACAAAAAAAAGTGCCTTGAAACAGGGATTAATTAATTAATTAGATGGCAAAAAAATTATTTACGTATCTGGGCAACCCGTACGAATCCACCCTTTCGGTCAAATTTTTTTTTGGGGGGGAGGGGTACTTCTTACCCTTCACGAAACCACCACAGTGCCCTTGAAAGTCGCTGTCTCACCATAGGGCCCGTAGTCTTGAGTCCAGTTACAGTACAGTACCATACCTCCTTCCGGTCCCCTGCGGGGTTCTTGGACATCCTTGCTCACTTTTGAGCCTCACCGGGCATCCGGACATTTGGAAACCCTTGCTCTGTAGCGGGATGAATATGGCTGAGGGTTTTGTCTGGAGACTACAATGACAACAGCTGCAACCAGGATATCGAACACACAAGCACCGCCCTGGGCTCGCCGGCCAAGAACTCAGCCAGGAAACAAAAAAAATTGCCATTGGTTTACCGATAACTAAGCACCCAACCCAACCCCATGATCACACAACTCGCACCGAAAATTGTCGCGATCACGCCGTGTTCTGGGGAATGAGGATGGCTCGGCTCAACCGTTTCTTGTGGTCGGCTCGGGATGGGAACTCTTCGGGTTGGGCGGTGGGCGGTGGGTGCTTACAGTGTGAGATCGTAGCACCGGTTGTGGCTAGGGGTGGTCAAGCGAAACGAGTGATTTCTTGTGAGTGCATGGAGAATCACCACCTCTTCTTGTCACCCCCCCCCTCTTGTATTGCTTCTCGGACCGGCGGAGAAACTAGGTGTTAGCTTATGCTGAGTTAATTGAGAATGAATTCGTGCTGTGCACCTTGTTGCATTATCAGATCTGGATAGATGTTTTCCTTCCCGAGATCAATATCATGAGAAATCATCCCCTTAGTGAGTATTCACACTTAGATGTGGCAACACTCAATAGGGTTACAAAAATGGTTCACAGGGCCAAAGCCCCGTGATGTGTCTACCCGGGTGATAAATCCGCCACCCAACCCAAACTCAAACTATTAGCAGTTGAACCCACGCCACCCGAGGCATGCTCCGGTGATCCATATGACCCAGGTATTTATACTAGAGCACGTGACAAACATCCATTCAACCTCAAGGTTAACCCGACTGAGAGCTATGATACCACGTCTCTTCGTAAAAGCCCGATAGGGCGTCAGGGCAGTCGAGTGAGCCAGGATGAGTAAGGAGACCTCCGAATCGCCACACATTCAGCAAATGGCGGAAAGCAACTCGACAGCCACTCCTCAGGGTGAGCGCCACATACAGTGGGCCTAACTCACGACAGCGTGGCTTCTCACCGTGGCTTGCGGGGTGCCTTTCGCGGGTACTTGGTACCAGTCGTTCGGACTCATCGGGTGTGCTCAGAATGAGAAATCGTATGCGCAAAATAAAAGCACTACAGGGAAAGGGGGTCCCAGGAAATAGTGAAAAATATGAATACGTGGTTTAGAGAAACGTTCCCCCTCTCGTTTCCTATTGCCCCTACTGTACAGGCTCCTCGCAAATTGCGGGATCAAGCCCCCACACCGAGTCTTAAGGGGAAAATAAAGCCCGGCATCCACTGAGGACTGCAAGCTAAGCGTGATGCTATCACAATTAGGGTATTTCATTCTATGCCTGATGAACACTAAAGGAGTCATCCCACTTCATCCTGTCCCCACTCCCCCACCTCTGGAGCGCTAGTACCTATGGGAATTTACTGAAATTTTAGAGTGCATGACAAATCCAGTAGATATCATAGTAGGAAAAGGCTTTTCCGAGAATTACAAAACGTGAGCTCAGGGGGAGGTATTCTGTTGGCCGTGTATTCTTCGCCAAGAGCCTGGCACAAAATCTGGAATCCAATCACTTTTACACAAGTCTATGCAATTTTAGGTAATAGGCGTAATACTCCCACCAAGTTACTAGGGTATTTGCCTTTAGGTGAATGAGTACGAAGGGATTTCCTGCCAGCGACGGAATCCTTTTTTTCCTTTCAACTCAGTAATTCTTGGGATTGTGGTTGAATTTTCCGGCCAAATTTGTCGCAGAAGCACCGGTCGAATGAAAACCCGCGTATAATTGGCTTTTAAGTAACTATTGGAGGAAAAACAAAAACTGAACCAAGCCTCGTGAATTTGTGGCTGGGGGAGCAAGACAACCGTGTTGGGGGTTACGATTCCATCCCGGAAAAAGGCATCCAATCATCGCCAACACAAAACTGGTTTCCTCGGTTTCCACTCCCGAACCAACATACCGGTACATATAGTCAATGCCTAGGTATCGATATCCGAGCATCGCCGGTACAACACCCTGGTATGGAGGTCTATTGGATCCCCACCATCCTAGTTGCTGGGTTTTAGAGCACTGGGTTACCTAGCGTAATCTCCTGTGATCCACCCGCCCAATTATGATACTGCCAGGGTATGCACGTACCCTTTAGCCCCAACCATGATACCCATCGCAATACCCGTCGCTAGGGTCGCGTAGTGGCCCCTGCCTGTCAGCAACTGACACCGCCCCGCGGTCTGCCCCAGCGGCCCGGCCAGACTCCTCGCTCTATCATAGGGGATTAAGTAAACACACGGCGGGGGCCCGTTGACCTTCCGGATTGTTTGGGTAGGTCCCCCCCGGGAAAAATCCTCTCTGGAACTAGAAGGACAGTATGTCCTCGGCCGGGCGCACTGCCCCGCTACAAGCGCCGGGACAGCTTAACTGCTATCAGTAGTATTATGAGGTATATGAGGCTTCATGTTGACCCCGCTGAACATCCACTGGTGCTTATCCTTTTTCACACCAAGAAGGTACTCGCACGTCTAAAAATTGCCGATAGTGAAGCCCGGAAATGGGTTTGGTCAGGGGCCCCATTATTGAGGTCGTCGGAAAGTATGCTGTTATCTGTGGCGGGCACCTTCAACTAGAAGTCGCTGACAATAGTAGCAGCAAAGCCACCGCAGTAGCCACCGCAGTAGCCGGCCACCATCACACTAGCGATGGCCATTTCGGGTTGCTCGCATGTCGCTATATCAGACTCGTAATTGCAACGCACGAGGAGGTTCTTCTATTTGCGTGTAAACGAGAGTTAGCGCAGGCCAAACAATGGTCGGATAGTTGAACAGCGTTATCCTCCTCCCCCGCCCCAACCCTATCTCGGGCTTGTGGTTTGTTTTGTAATTTGCTTGCCCCCATATTGTGCATTGTTATCCTGAATCTTTTTAAAAAAAAGCCGATGTCTATCCAAGGCTCTTAATAAAAGTGTTCCTTTAGGCCGTCATTTGCTTGCCCTGGAATGATCTTTCCACGAAGGGGCTAGCTCGGGCTCGCTAGCACTAAACCCGAGGATACGACAGGCAAGAACCAGCTTCAGTGACCCTGGATACAAGCGCTGGTAAGCTGGAATTGGGGACCGCCAGAAGCTGCTCGATCATTCGCAACACCCCCGGGGTCCTGATGACCACGTGAGGAGCTGCCGAGAGAATGAGAAAATATGAGAAAATAGTCTATCCAGTCGTGCGATTTGGGGGAGGGTAGCTTCGACTAAATATGAAGGGAATCGAACCGGGGGGTCGTTTCCCAATCATATTTTCTGGAACGTAAATGGCTGTGGTGGAATGCCTGTTCCTATGGGGATTCCGCGGGGTGGTGTATAGTTGGCCAGTATGATAGAGTCAATGAGCTCGCAGTTGGGATCTAGGGTGCGGAGAACAGGAAAAATCATCATACAGAAGCTTGCCCGGAGCCTAATCTCTTTCCTACGGGTTCTGCCATATAGGATTGGCCATAGGATATCCGGGGCCGTATTGGGGGCCTGCAGTGCGCCTCCTCGTGTGATTCGAGGGTTACGGATAAGTTAGGAATTCTGTTTCCAGCGTCATCATGGAAAATCACTCGTAGTTAGCTTCAATTCTCAATTTCCCCCACCGCATGGCGCGGGACAAATATGCCGGAGCACACGAAGGGGGAGAGTTTTTCGGGAGACCGCTATTACACGGGTCCCTGCCACAGAATCCTTCAAAGATACATGGGGGAATAGCCAAGCGTCTGAAAAGCCTGGTGCGATTTTTTGTGCTAATTTCCGTCTAGTCCTTAGGGAAGGTTGGGCGATCGGGTGCGGTTGTGGTATATCTTTTGCATACAACCCCCCTACCCCGTTTTGGCAGAGCTCGCTAGATTTTTCTAGATCAGAAAAGGAAACTCTAACCCCGGCTTGTTTGGCCCCCGGACCTTCGCTAAATGGGGGGTATTCCAAATCACAAAGCGGATTACCGCATGACGTTGCCCAACAGAATGGCTCCTCCCCCGTCCCGTTCCTGCCCATCATGGAAATCCAATTACTCTCTACCACCACCCTCCGGGGGGGAAGGAGGCCCCTTCTCGGAAACCGCTAGGGTATCACGGACTTGATTTTCACCACTAATGACGAATGGCTTGCAGGCCTGCATTCTCCAGAGCACGGACTCTCACTCGTCTCTTGGCCGTGGGGGATCGTGTGGGGGGCGTAAGCGTTGTCGATGAGTGTTGGTTGGTGACGGACCCGCTCCTTTCGACGGGTGATGGATGCTGTGGGGGTTTAGTTGGGATTGAGATCTCCATCCTGGTAGCTGGGTTTAGGGTCTACCGCGAAGGTTAGGGCATGTATTTTTTTTGGGATAGGGGCGCGTTCGGGTGGGGAATGGAGGATTCGATAATTTCTGGGGGGGGGATCAGTTTGCATCAATTCTGGTGTTCCGGAATTGGCGGTAAAAGGGGGATTGTAGTCGGCGTGGGTCGGGTGGCGGGTGGTGGGTGTGTTTGTGGCTAGTGCACTGTTTCGCATGCACGCTAGTATCTGCAGGCCATGCATATTTCACTCTGCCCAAGAATAGAAAAACAAAGCACAGGAGTGGCTGTTAAAAACTCCATGGAATGACTTTTCGGCAGCCGTGTTGGTCATGTGTGGTGGTCAAAAGGATTATGCAGCTCTCAAGTGTTATCATGCAGTATGAGTTTTTATTCAAGGCAAACAAGTTAAAAAAACGTCTAGTACACCCCCCAGGGACGACCCTCCCCCCCCAAAAAAAATCGAAAAAATCAAAGTCAAATGAAAGCACAAGCTAGGTACAAACGAAAGCACACCCACAAAAGTAGAGTATACACAAGGTTCGTCCAATCCAACAGGCACCCGCAAAAGGCGATCCGCCAGGGAGAGCTTGGTCCCACAACACAAAAAGCAGACAGCAATAGTGGAAAGATGAAAAAACGCAGATAAGAAAAAATCGTCTAAAGGCACACACAATATAACATCTCTAAGTTAAACACCCGTAACGTGATAACAGTCACTCATTATCTTCATCCCTAAGGGCGTCACTGAATACCAAGGGCCATTCCCCCCTCTGTGCGCGCCAGAAATTGGTGACAGACAAGACCTCGTCGTCGACTAACCACCTCCACTTCTCCAGGAACTCCGGTTCGAATTCAAAACTCTTAGTATCCCATGTCAACCTCCCCCAGATCTTCAAGTATCTTTCGATATCTGTGCACAGCTCGTCCTCGTCGACTGCTCCTGGCGTAGAATTGAGGACGTTCAAGAGATTATCACGGAACCCGGAGAAGGGTATAATGTCGATGTAGGGATGGTGGCGAACCTCAAGTTGCAGGTCAGTGGGTGCTAGGTGTGGGGCACGTTGGTCCAGTAGTGACATCCGGGAGTGTAGGACGGACCTACGTGCGGATAGAAAGGGTGAAAGTGTGTCGTCCCTGACATACTCCTCCGCCGTGACCCCGAGCATAGAGAGGTTGCTGAGTACGGCAGTGTTGATGGTGACGCTGTTTATAGACATCAAGTGTGTATCGGTGGAGAGTGTGTATGCTGCCTGGGAGCGGAATCCAATAGCTTTAATCCCAGAATCAACCCTTGGGTTGGGGAGAGTGGAAACATTTGCGCCAGAGGGACGGGAGGGACCCGGCCGATTTGAAGCGGACGAGGAAGTTTCAGAAGCTCCGCTGGAGAGGCGCTGGGTGATAGATGCGGAAAAGGGGTATGTTATTGCCATGGACTGCCAGTTTCCATAGACCTCTTGCTGCTCCTTCGTCAGATTGCGCTCTGGACGGGAGCCGGCTGGAATGAGGTCTTCTGCGCTTTCTGGTATACCGGTTTCTTTTTGGCGCTTAGCTGCCTGGTTTTCTAGCTCGGTGATTCGGATGCGCTGCTTCTGTCCTAGATAACCAAGGGTTCTTAGCTGTTTTCGATGAGATCATAGGCCGCAGAGGCGGTTAAAGTAATAGAGAGGGTAGATAGATAAGGGTATGGATTTCTGACTGACTGTAAACGCGCTGGGCAATCCTATTTTGAAGTTGTCGCCTCCTCTTTGGGTCCGTTGTGACTTCCAGTTCTCTTTTGACGTCTTCGGTAGACAGATGAGCAGAGCTTGATGATCCCTCCATTTTATGTAGATGTTTGGTTGAATGAAAAGTATAAAAGATAAACGGAAGCGCAAGCTTTGGAAGTTTGATGATGGAGGAATCGAGGAGGAAATGGTCGATGTTAATATATAGATCCGTTGATGCAACCCCCTGGATTGATATGCAAGTATTCAAGATTTGCGCCGACAATATCAAACGATCTTCCATTCCGGAATCCAAACCTTAAATACCCCAAGAGTCTTATACCAAGTGTTGTGATCAGATGAACTCCCCCATCTCCTGCGCCGTACTATACTAGCTCCCGGAGCTTCGCTTCTGTCACCCGGAGGTGACACAGCAAGCTTCGATTGCCGGGATAACTATTTACCGCCGCTTCCCTTTCAGATGATACCTCCATTGCGTTAGTTCCCTTGGGTGGGGCTCACTCACCTGATTGCAAGGTCTTTTCGCCTCAATATCGCCAACATGCTTCTCCCGACGGTGCTGGCAGCGGGGAGCTTGCTATCGCATAGAGCGCTCATAGGCATCATAATCGCAAATAGCCCAAGGCACCCAGCAGGAATTAGGCCGACCGATATCCCCTTCACACTCATTTCCCCAAATCTCAGGGCGGTAGTGGTCGATTTCAGCTCTCCTCTGTAGGTATGATATTATGTAAACACTCTCCTGAATATATGTATTATAAAAATAAAAAAAAACCTCCATGGAAGAGCACCGTGTACAACTCTTTTCCGTTTCCTGTATTGGAAATTGTGCCCTTTGGTGGAGCCCCTGCCCTATGTACAGTACGGTTAAACGTCCGCCGATCCCGAGTGGAGCAAAGGATACCTTGGTACCGGTCCTGTCAGCAGACATCTCAGTGCGAATCCCATCCGGGCAAAGATGGAATTTGGAGAAAAAAACTTCGAGAGTGATACCGATGGGGGGGGGAGGGAAAGTGCATATGCAGGAACGGGGAGCCGGTGGAAAAGGAGTCAAACCCTCTCAATATAATACTGTGGCGGACAGGTATTTTTTTCATTTTTTTTCCCTCCCTTTTCTTTTTCTTCTCTGCTGCGATGGAAATAAATCGAAAAGGACATTCTGGCATATTCCGTTGGATTACGGTATTGGGCGAGAGTCCCGGTTGTGACCTCAGTCGGAGGAGGCTCTTCCGTTAGGTGGTGATGTGGGTAAGCAGAAGGGGTAAGCAAGAGTATCCGGTTCTGTAGGTACCGTGCAGGTCACTGTGCCACACGAGGTAGCTATAGCTTGGAAACTTGAGGCTCCCGTACATATCGCCATGATGAGACTTGGTATACGAGCTTTTCACTTGGTTTGTCTCACTTCTCCCTTCGCTACGGTGGTCCTTACAACTGGTTGAGTTCCAGTTCGGAATCCTCTATTGAGCTCGGCGGGTTTCATAGACGCGACTAACGCCAAGCAGGTAGCTCTATGATCGCACCCCCACTTGCATAGTTTTCAAAGCGATTTGAACCTTTAGTTAAAGTGACAGGGTAGAAGTATCTAAAGTAAGAACGTAACTAGCACTTTACGGTTTCGCCGATTAATGTACAACCTCTCCCGCGCACATTTCTAACTGCCTCTCTGCGGGCGGCTTATTTCCAAGGATGCCGGGATATGGCGATCCACACAAGAAGACTTCTTTGCATTTACACCAGAATAGTCTCTGCTCTGGAATGAGTTACCCATGTCTTGCATTTATTCCTCAGAGTTCATAATCATTCTTATTCGCGAACTCGTGTGCGGTTTCCTTTTTCTTCCTTTTTTTCTTTTCTTTTTTGGTGAAGCGGTGAAGCCAATGGAACACGGGGTAAAATGTTTCATCATAGCGGGACCTACCCCGGCGTCTACTGTAAAATGTGGCTGGTTAGTGGCGCCGCCAGCATTACTAGTGCTTCTCATCCAATTCATCCCAGTGGGCGGTACAAATCCTTCTCTGCTGAAAGGGCATAGTCCGCCAGTAGTGTGCAGCAGCTAGGCCTCTGCCCCGTTCCACATTAACGGTACTGTACTAATAAACGATATCATGCTCTTCGGCGCAAAAGAACTTGTGCCAAGAGCCAGGACGAACGGGGTGCCAAATCTTGGCTGAGAAGCACGGGTGGGGTTTCGAAATTGCGTGCCGATACGGTCTGGCTTGTTCCGAAAGTAGATTTATCTGGAAATCTCGGCAGGGCGTACCGTGTGCTGGGAAGCACCACACTTTCTGCATCCTTCTAGAGCGCGCTTGTACCGCACACCAAGACACCTGGAAACCCACCACCGTTATGATGTCTCAGACGGCCTTATTATAACCTCCGCTTTCAGGGACAAAAAGTCCCCGAGCAGGATTAGAGCTTTCCCGACACGGTATCAGACCAGCCCACTGGATGTGTTGGATCTCGTTAACCGGTATTTGCAACCTTCTTTACCCGTTGAGCTAAATCCATTGCGGGCTGACAACGTGGTTCCCGCTGATCATCTGGTCATGCGTTCCCAAGTGCTTTTACCGAAGAGCAGGTCGGTGGGACTAAACCGTGTCTGGGTGCGGACAACTTGCGCACGCGGGGGGGGCTGGTGTGGAATCGGGTGTTCGACCGAACTCTGTAGGGCTGAAGACCAACCTTACACTGCCACCCTCCCTTGGGACTGTACCCCCACCTTGATAGGGCAATCTTTCCTCACGAACAGCCAATACGACTGGAGGACGATATTATTTATTTATTTTTTCTTTTTCTCTTCTGTTTTTCTTTTGCTCACTAATTGAATAGAGCGAGTCTTATTCAATTCATAGCAAACTAGTGAATTGAACGCTCTCGTTTCTTCACTGATGCAAATACTGGATCCTCTTCAACATTCAAAAGCATGGGTTGCGCCGGTAACGGGGATTCGAATTACTTTCGTGATGCAAAACATAATCCCTCCGGTGGAGGTGGTAAGAATTTATTATTTCCTCAATTTTTTGCCTCTCAATAAAAGTTGTCGCCTCAAACGCGAATTGCCCTATGAATCTGTGTATTCGAGGTTCGGAACCTTTAAACTCGGGGTATTCTAATAAGATGCAAGGTCCCTATTGAGCAAGTAGTAGCGATTGGCACAATTATGTTTATTTATCCTGGTTAATATATAGCCTACATGGGAACTAGAATAATTGAGCCTCATGCTCGGAAGTTGGAGTTGCCTCCCCTACCGGTAGTATACATGTGACCATTTATAATCTTTCTTTTGACCTGTCCTAGCTGAGGGCTGAGAATCAGTTTTGTTTTTCCTAGAGGTGATCGCCACTAGTTCTCCAAACAAGCCAATTCTGGACGTCTTATAATAGTAGCGCGTGGATCGATTATCCCGTTTCCTTCGGCAATTATTACAAAAAGGACAAGGGGAGGGGAAGGGAAGGAAATGGAGATTAACGAGCCATGCTGGACTTTTTGCATAACGAATACCGAATGGACCAGTATTGGACTCTCCACCCGGAACAGCCAGAGAACTTACATCCTACGATCTCCATTTTTGGGTAAATATTCTCATGTCATAGAATACTACGCGTGACTGGTGATGGTACACGCAGCGGCTCCCATCATGCAGAGCCTCGATTTTCACTATCCCGATATCAACTGGCATAAGCGGAGCCTCTTGCTTGCTGAAATGCACCTTCTGATGTTCGCCTCAATTTCAGCTGGATCTTAGTGCTATAGCCTATCCAAAGGCAGATATCAACGGGTAAATAGAGTTTATGCGGTGAAGAGAAAGTGTGCTCGAGGGGGGGGGGGGAAATCGGAGATCGAGCAGGCTCTATCTTCTGGCATGTGATACTGGGAAGGATTGGTGTGGGTAAGCAATGTCTCTGTGGTACTATTCACTTGGAAATATATCGCGCTGGGGGAATTCCGCGGACACAAATTGGGAAAAGATTTCCGAGATATTTCCCACGGGCAATCGAAATTATTACCCTCAATATAGAGGCACAGTTGTACACTGTAATTATTGATTGGGGTTTGAATGGAGAAATATCTTACTGCGGGCCCGTGCAAGTAGCTTGACGGGTTTCCATCATCACCCCATTCTTGTTCCCAAGCGGTCCCTAGTGCGGATAAGGAGGCAAAGCTGCTGGTACGGCGACCTCTGGCTAGCGGTTAAGAGCTGAAGGTAATACGGATGGAGGATTAGAAGCGGGAATGGAGCATTCTCAGAGCCCTCCTTTGCCGGGGCATGAATAAGGATCGTTAGGATGTGGACGGTTTTGCAAGCATGGGAATCATGGGGTACCGAAGGAACAAATTCCGCGAGTCAGAATACCAGAGGGCGTCGGCACATCGGTAATACCGAAGGCTTGTAGAATGATCATCGCATTGCCCCACAACCCCGGGTTCGGGCTCCAGGGATGCGATGGCAACACATACCAGCTAATCAGCTATCGAGGAGTCAACCGTTCGCACTATCATCAAAATCATGCACGCTATGGTGCATCGTTTTTTTCATCCACACAAGCAAAGACCCTAATGCAATGCACACACCCTTTCTCTTGCTGCCCTGTCATTAATAAACTCACCCCGCCCAAGATCACGATATCTCACTCGCACAACTACAATTCGCATAGCCAGGTCTCCCAGCCTAAAACCCTGGCATGAAGGACGGGGATCTGCATTGTGCGGCTACGCGCGCTGCGGCAGATCTGGGCGGTCCCGTTGTTCGGGCCTTGGGGTCGCCCCCACCCTGCCAGCAGACCCGATGAGTAATATGATACGAAAAGTAACCGTCATTATGCACAGTACGGTCCTGGGACTGCGGGGCCTCAAACCTTCTGCTGGGAGAAATGGACAACACATGCAACACCAGCAGCTGATCTCGCTCAGTTTTGGCTGGCTGGGCTACCCCTGGCCTTTAGTAAGTCCTTCCTGTGCACTTTTTCTGGTGGTTTTGGAACCGTGTAATGTGAGGGCTAATATTCAAGGCGGGCGGGAGCATCTAGATCCCGCATCTCGAGTAATCAGCCTTTTGGTGGAATAGACCGCACTAGAACGCGCTGCTATGGCGAGGGGCCTCTGTGGCCGGGGTATGATATAGGAAGACGTATATCCTGGCTTGGAAATTGCAAGTTGCCCTGCTTAGTGCAGCCCTCAACACCGGTTAGATTTTGGATCAGAGTCGGGTATCTGCCTTTCCAAGGGGATTAACAGTAGCTAACGTTGCCCGGACACCACCCCGCGCCTTCCCAAAATTCGGCCTGCTTACGGGCCCCAATATCTCCACTGAAGCTTGGGATGTTTTCTGTTGATTTTTAGAGAACTATCCGCTTCATCACTCAACACAGCCATAGTTCCCAATAGAGCGGTGGTCCTTTAGAGATTAGAATTGAGCAATATTTTCTTAAGTTAGCATGGCTCTCGGGCTGTAGTTGTGCCTCGCCGTAAATGAGGCGCGCAATGGCCGAGAATTTTCGACCAAGAATCAGTTTCCTTCTCAGCCTCGGGGATAACCTGCGCGAAAGTTTTGATGCTGATAAGCTTTGCAGAATAGGCTATGTCACGCGTCATGCATGCTAGGCAATGATTGGGTGTGGCTTAATTTTAAGAAGCGAAGGCCTGTCAGATACGGGTATGGTCCCGGGAAGCCTTGCCAGTATCGGTGGGATGATATCTAGATGCTTGAGATCCGCCAGATAGGTACAATCCTGTCAAAAACTGACTCAAGCGGGGGATGCCGCTGTGATGGGGGTGTGGAAGCGGTATGATGTGGGTTTAGTCGCTGCGCTAGTCTTCTGTAGGGTGTTTGACCTCGGAAATTACCTGTTTAGGCGATTGCTTGGCACCAGGCATGGTTTTTCTGTATATAGGCGCTCTCTTTCCCCTCTTGGTAAGAGATGAGCGGCAGCCACCACCTGACTGTCCAATACTCGTGGCACAGTACCGGTACCGGTACTCGACTAAATTACTGCACTCAAATAGCCGGATTGAGTACGAGTACCGTACTTTCCTTCTAGGAGTGTCCCTATTGGGTCCAGCTTCATCATCCTTTGTTTGTGTTTTCAGACCTTTATAATAACGGCCGGGTTCGCACACATCCTCATTCAGTCGATGGACGGATCATACCAGTAGAGGCGAGCCGGGGATATCGGAAGCGACCGAAATATACATTGCCAGTGGGTTCCTGTTCCTAGCACACTGTGAAATTCTGCCCTGTGGTATCTGGAAAAGGCACTTCTAAAAGCATCGAAAAACCGGGGAACAGTCTGGTTCGGCTATCACCCTTAAAAACTCCCTGAGGTTTTGGTGGCTTTTGCAGTACTCGTATATGCGGGCCTAGCCACCTTGCATACGTTAGGGAATTGCGACCACCTCTACTCGAGTACCGGTGGGCTAGTCGTGACAATGCTGTCGTCGGTCAAGTCTATCTCATCATTCTGCCTCACGGTATACGAGGAGGTCACAAAGCAACATGGAGCAAGTCAAATTCCATAAGCGCAACCTGGCCGAACATACCATCCGAAACAACCAAGCCATCTGACTCGCACTGTACTGTACTCGAGTACTCGAGTATGATACGAGTACGAGTGCCGTGAGGGCCGCTCTTCCAGTGTGATGGCCCCACGTATCATTATAGATTTGCCAAGACATTTCTATTTTTCTCACCTCCCCCGGCAAAATGCCGTCGTAGGGTCTGCCGGCATGACGAGATCTGGGACCGAGGTCTCATTCCATCCACAAACTCTCCTGGCTTCCAACATCTCAACGGTTTGCATAGCAACCCCTAAATCCACTCCCTCACGCATCTCCTTGATTTGGTAAAAGCATCTTAGTTCTCACGACTAGAAAACGGCGGGAATGTCGTTCAGACAGCTTAGGGATATTACACGCGATAACGACCGGGCTCGCCCCGCAGTCTACTGTGCTTACGTACAGATCGTTGAGCCGGAACGCTGGGGACTCGGAGAGCAGCGGACGGGGTTACGATGGCGGATTATCCAGCGGTTGACACCACCAACCGAAATATGGAGAGCGGGATAGTAACGGTCGGCATGTTGGGGATTTTGAGCAGCGACAGTCGTACGGACGAGAGGAGCGCGACCGTGACGGAGGGAGAAGGGGTTCCGAAGGGATTTTCCAATGACAACAAGGAACGCCGCCAAGCTAAACGACGGCAACGACGGTAGGTGGTACAACCAGAGCCGCAGCCCGAATCTGGGTCGCCCGGAGATGGGAATCGGGGGTGTGAGGAGCCGAATAACGGTAGTTATTCTCGCGGCACTTTTTGTGGTCAGGATTCGGAGAGGGGTAGGGATTTCGTCGGGGATGACCCCAGCTGCGCTTTGGGGTGCTGGATTGTATTTAGAACGGCTGGGATCGAAACTTTTGGAAAAGCATACGAAAACCCCACCAATCGCGTCGAAAACAGCGACGTCGGGCATCAGGAGAGCGAGATCAACAAGGGAGGTGAACCTATAGGAAGTGTTCTCAATACGGGTATGCCATCTGTTCGGTCCATGTCCGAAGTCTAAACTGATTCCAACACCTCCCTGTCGGGGGCGCTCCCGGAAGTTTCATCGGGGATTTTACCAAGAAAGAATATCATACCAGTAGGAAGGCATTGAGCAGACACGGCCCTGGGGATAGCCAGATGGGGTGGGTCACGGAAAATACGTGCTAGGGGTTGTGTTGATTGTTCATTGCCAAATTATCACATACAATTTTGCCTAGGCCAGATACCGGTAAATTGCGAGCATGTTTTTGTGTTATCAAGGGACCGCGATAATTTAACTATAGGGCGATGCGCGATTGTGCGGGTGTTCGTTAATCCTGGCGATTGCTGTTCGATCTGCTGGCGCAACTCGCTCACCGTGAATCATCCCTGGTTGCTTGCCAGAAACGTCGAGCTTTTGGCGTGAGCGGCTCGGCTGCTTGTTTTGACTTCCATGCGCAGATCAAGAAATCCTTGTCCCCAATGTTATGACGCTGTATGATGCATGAGTACTAGTACTTGTGCTCGCAACATACTTGGGGCTGAGCGGTTAGCCTTTTGTGGCAAACGTTCCCCTTTCCCAGTCCCTAAGCGAGACTTGGTGAACGTCAGATCATCGCGGGACTTTTTAAGGGCCCTAAACTTATGCTGCTAATCGTTAGCGAGATCCAGCTCCGCAGTGCACATTATCTTTGGGTCCCCATTCTAGGAGAAAGATCAGGCCACAAACCTCCCGGGTTCTGCTCAAGAGTTTGAAACAGTTGGAGGACTATGGCACTGGCAACCGTAGGGGAAAAGTGTGTGACATGCCTAGCCACTGAGTGGCTTGCATTCAAATCTTTAATTCACTCTGGTTCTAGTGGGCGGCCTTCTCCCAATTGAAAACAGATCGGGGCTGGGGGGTTACACATTTCCCCTCCACAGCTTCTGGCACCATAAGCGGAGTTACCGGTAGGCTAGAAGCCTGAGTAACCTAAGCCGATACGGGTATTGGAGGAGGTGGGCGGCGGGGGCAGATCGCTAGCTGGATGTAGGAAGGTGAGAATTTGTTCGATGAAGCTAACTATTCTCATGTGTTTAATTTCTATTGCCTTATCTCTGCGCGAAGTTAACTGGGCTCTTAGTTCGCACAATACGGTGATATTCCCCCTGCAGATGTCATCCGTCCCTGCCTGATCCATACCGTTTCCTGGGTGGAGTGGTGTTCACTACGGAGCAGAATCTCGCTCTTGGGGATTTACAGGGGCATGCTTACACCACCGGCAATTCCGCCTTATCCTACCCGCGACACTTGCTCGGGGTGGACCTTGAGTTTTGCCATTTCCTATTCTAGCATGGTGACTCCAGTCTCTAGAGCAGGTGCTGTGGTGATACTACATATGAGGATATCCGGAGTCCGTTAATTGCGGTGGGATCACGAGTAAACGGGGTGGGGGCAGGCATCGACCCTAGTCTACATTTCACAAAATCTCACTCTCGTTGCCGTTTCCTCCTCATCAACGGCGATTGCGGGGACATTCCGATAGCTGGTGAGTATGAGTCTCAAATACCTTGGCACCAACGGTGCTCTACAACCAGGTTTAGCGGCGAATTCAGCCCTTATGTCTGCCTGTCCGTGTCACTCCCGGAACTGTATATTTATCAGCCTCGTATGGTGAACCCGTTAGCAGGTGCGAAGGGCCGGGCTCCCTGAGGCACAAGTATCCATTCTGCATCCAGCAATGCTTTCCTTAACACGATGCCCACTTTATATGTCGGGTGCCTCATTCGCAGAACCTCTTTGGGAGCCTGACCGAACCAGTAGGAATCGGGAATCGGGGCGGATTGTGGGGAAAAGGCTACGAGATACGATTCTTACGGGAGACTCGGAGGGATTCGGCCGACGATCGTCTTGTGCGAAGCAAAATTGTTGAACCCCTCCCCCCCTTTTCTTTTTTTCCAATGTACCATGCAGTAACTGTGCTTCTGAGACATGCAGGTATGATGCGGACAAGGCTACAGCATTTTATTTTGGTTGTGCCACGGCGGGAGCCCCTTTGCTTTATCTCTATCCCCCTCTCGTTCTCGCTCTTGTAGTACTCACTGTGCTAGCTTGGGGATACAAAATGTGGGGAAGGTGGTATTGAGGTTTCTATTTCGACTTGTCTTATTTTGACGTTACCATGTTATGCTCCTGACGCCACCACCACACCGCAGCGTCACTCCATCGCAGAGCGTGCACGGGCCAGCTTTTGCTTTTTTTGTTGATTCCCGGCTATTGTGAATAGATGCATCCCATGCGTTAATCCCATCGTAGCATGAGCTTATGGACGGCGCCGGATACGAAGGAGGGACAGGATTTGGGCTTGAGCGGTCATGGGAATTTACGTTCTTTGGGAAATATCATGTTTTTTTGTTCTTATTTTCTTTTTTCCTGGCTTCCACAAAGCGCTAGTTCGCGAATTTCTTCAGGCCCGCACTTGATACCGGTACATGTAAGAGGGACAAAGTGTGTGTGGGGGTACACTATATCAAGTATTACGTGGTCGAAATAGGATACGTGAATGGGACGGATGGCTGAGGATGAAATGTCCATTTTGTACACATGTTTGGCGTCGCCCTACAGCGGCAACGGAGTCACTTCGTGTCACTCGGGTGGAAAGCTCGGTTGTCGGGTATCGTCTTGTGCCAGACGGAAGGTTTACCGGTAGTTTGTATAGAGGAGGGCTGGGATTCTGCAGGGGCGGACATGAGGATGTTGCTCTAGTTTCTGTTGAATCCTGGGACTGGTAAGGGTGTGGGACGGGACACAACGTGAGAATCTAAGATGCAGAAATAGTGCATGTCCCTCGAATCTGGAGACGACGAAATTATGCATCGTCGGCATGGAAATGACCGTATTATGATGTATCCATTTCATGCCTTGGTCGATCTTGACAGTGGGGGGTGGTGGGGAGCTGGGAAGTGGGGAAAGTGGGGAGAGGTGGGAGGGGAGCTCCGGTACAGTACCTTGGCAATCTCAGCCCCGCTGTCCATCTTAAAAACGAACCACGCGGCTAGACGGTGAGGAGCGCATTTTGCGATGTGCAAGTTATTCGCCGAGATTGATAATGGGATGCAGGGATAAAGTGTGCGTTAAAAGCCATTGTACATATACATTGAGAAAATAGGGCGAAGCCGTACATAGGGGATGTAGCCAGGGGTGCCGTTGTCACAATAGTGCAAGTAAGGAGTCATGTAGGGGCAGCCTGCGTTCTATCGCGCAGTAGATGCATATTCCGAGTGATAAATGACTCAACTTTAAGCCGCTAGGTGATTTCCAGCAGATATGAATAGACGAGACTACTCTACTTTGCATGGTGGGATCCATCAAGACCGTACTCGGCCGCTGTCTTGAATGACAGAGGGGAAAGGTGGGAGAGGTCGAGTAACTGGAGGGGACAGTTATGCAATTGGGGAATTCCACGTAGGATGCACAGCAATTCGGAAAGAGTCCTAGTCAAAAGTAGCTTTTCTTTCCCCGTGGAATGAGCCCCTCATCCACATAGGCCCTGACTGCGCGGTGCCTTCCAGAGGCCGTGGCAAGCTCCGCTTCAGGAAGACATCTGTAAGGCCACTATAGAAATAGATATCACCAACCCTGGGTGGTTATTACCTATTCTGAGCACCGTCGTGCAGGGAGCTCAAAAGAAAAGAGAAATTTACACATTTACACTGTCAGTTCTGGGGATTGCCCTCCCCCCCCCTCCCCCACCCCACTACAACCCTTTCCTGAGCTTTAGTTTAGGTAGAACTGGATTCACCGAGACATTTCAGGATGATGGTGCCCAGCTGTATCAACATGTACGAAACCTGCCCTCGCTAGGCTGACAGCACTAGATAGGCCTTTTGGGACCCCTGGGCTGTGTACTGGATCGTCCGGGATTCTCGGAAGACAGACTTCAGTGGAGGGCAAAAGAAAAAAAAAGAAAAAGAGATCAATCTCCCAGGAGACGACTTTTCTCACGTTGATCAGCGAATTTTACCGTTCGATGACCTACGGACTAACTCAGCTGAAAATACGAGTTAATTCGATACTTTATTCCCTAGGAATGGTAAGCGGAACAACGGGTGCTACAGGGGGCATTACGGAAGAGCTCTCGTGCTCCGTGTAAGAGACTTTTCCAAGGGGCCTTGTTTTTTCTTCTTCTTCTTCCAGTTACGGTTGTTGAACTGTGGCGTCCATCCGTGAATGTATTCGAAAACATGCCAAGTTGGAAACATTCTGCGAAAAAACCCAGATGGCAAAAATACGGGGGAGATAGATATCCATGTGACGGGGTGAGAGAGCGCCCTAGCGGGCATATCCCCTTTCGGGCTGTGCTGTTGATGGCTCATTGTGATCCTGATTGCATATTCGGAGGACACTCAGGACAGTTCGTCAGCCGCATTATATCAGAAATGTGATTTGGATTCGTGGCCAGAAGCTTGGTGAAGTGGGTTTGGCGGGCAAAAGTTGTGGCTAGCTAGTGTCACGTTCCCACGCAATTACAAGTCACGCAGCTCACTGAGAGGTCACAGGATATCATTCGACAAGGGTTTTTCTCTAATGGTATCGGGACCCCGGTTATTGGGGATATTTGACCCGCGTTGTTAGGGGGTGCTGGAAATATTACTAGCTCAGCTCTGGACTAGAAGGGTAGAGGGAGTCATTCTGAAGTGACTTATTTTGTTGGTTTATTTTGATGAACGGTTCGGAAACTTGGCAGGCAGATTAGGTTTCCACACATCTTTACAGTCTCCCATCCCACACCAATATCAATCCTCCCCCCCCCCCCCCTGCAACCCCCTAACTTTAGAAATAATACCTTGATGCACTTTCCATCTTTGTGCCTTGGACAAGGACTATCCGGTACGGCAGGTCCGGGTTGTGCTTTGGTGAGAAGTTGAGACCATAGTCAACGATAGAGCCTGTTAATGATTAACGATATAATGGGATATTTGCGAAAAGCCCAAATAACTATAGGCCAGTACAAATGACCCTCCGCGTGGAGAGCCTTGGTTACTATGAATACTCACTTTGTGTATTCTTCTTGACGCAGCTTGCTGACGTGATATTTCCGCATGGTCTTTTGCCGGGTACTATATCCAGAGGTTCCGCCGGGCGCACAGATTAGGCTCGACCTAGGCTCTGGTGAATTCCTGTCGGTCCTCGTTCGCAACGCCGCCCCCACAGAACTCTCCAATACAGGAACGGCTGATCACCATAGGCACAAATCACAGAGTGGAGATGGTATAACTTATTATTTACAGGTGCTATCCTTTCCCTTCCAGCGCGCAAACACTGCTCGTCTTCTAGTGCTACAGGTGGTCTGGTCCCCTCGCTAGTCTTTGGGCGAGACTGCGTAGATCTTATGGTATAACTCGTGTTTACTGTCCTATGAGGTGTTTTCTGCTAAAGTATCGGTAGGGTTGGGAACTTCACCGGGAGGGGGGAAAAGCACACGGGGGGGCTTTTTGAGCTTTCTGATCCACACAG